GTGGGGTTGAGTTTCAGGGAGCTGATTTTGTTGATTAAATGTCCTGAGTCTCTGATGTGGGCTGGAGTCTGTCCAACGTGGGTCACCAAAACAAGCAGCCACTCAGTAACCCAACCCTTAAGATCTCATGAGATCACCAAGTCTTGTAAGATCTTGGCACTGTTGTCAAAATCTTTAAAAAAATCATTCTCATTACATACTCTTGTAATTTGATATCTCACAAGATTTGGACTTCTGCAGCTACCATCAGGGGCAATCATATTCTGTGGTGCCTACAGGCAGCACTTGGCTAACCTCTGGTTTATGTTATAGTCACCAAAAGCCTTCAAAAGATAATGTAGTGATCCACACAAAGGAAAAAGTTGGAAGCTACAGTTCTAGAGCAAGGATACACCTTTTTTTTTTCCTGTCTAGGACTGCACATGGCTTTTGAATGGCATGCTGAGGGTTATTTCTGAGGGACCACCTCTCCATGGTTACATCTACACATCCCATCAGGTCTGGCAGGAGAAACATGCTGCAGGTCCTGTCTATGAAGGAGAGCCACCTGACAGGACTTAGGAAGACAGCCTTTTCTGCCATGGCGCCCACCCTTTGGAAAATCATTCCCCTGGAGCTTAGATTGGCCCTGACCTTACTGGCCTTCAGGAAGGCTTTGAAGATGTGGCCTTGCCATTGTGCTGGAGGTCCAGCAATGGTGGGGAGCTTTTACAATGACTGTATTGAATGTGAAGTATTGATTGGATTTGCTGATGTCTAAGGTTATTTTGTGTGTGTGTGTTTTAATGTGGTTTTTATGCATGGTTTGCATGTATTTTATGTTTGTTTTTATTGATTTGTTTTGCTTCTGATGCTGTTTTTATTGTTGTATACTACCCAGAGTCACTTAGGTGAGTTGGGTGGCTATACAAATTGAATAAATTACTTACTTACTTCAGAAAGTACTGGGTGACCACAACAACACTGAAATTGTTTTCTTTATTTAAATATATATGTAATTAAATTATATATTAAATTTAGACATGGTTACTCTTCAGCCACGTATTTAATATTTCTCTTCTGTCACACTTAAACAATCACAGTTTGGTAACACCATTTGGTATGTCTGTCTGGGGGCCACTTCCTACATTTCTCCAGGCTGCCTGATGTGCACCTCCGCTTCAGGCCAGTGTTTCTTGTGCTGGGTGGGGAATTCTGGGAGTTGAAGTCCACACATCTTAAAGCTGCCGAGGTTGAGAAGCACTGCTTTAGAGTACCTCCTATCTTGTATCTCCGATATGGAGGACTATTTCCCTGAAGATGAAAATTCCTCTCCAATAAGACCTTTTTTGTGCAGTGTACATTCATGCATCACGACTCCAGTGATAATAAGGAAGATATGAAACCCCTCAGAAACTTTCGATCAGCCAAAAGTACAGTGCCAGATCTTCCGAAGCGGCTGTCCCAGAGCCCCTGTCCTTTCTTTGCCCCCAGCTCCCTGGAAACCAAGCAGGAAAATAAACTGCTTCCACTGGAGAGGTTTGCTATCTAGGTGGCTACAGTAAGAAGAAAACGCTGTACTGAACAAGCCTTAGTCTGATTATTACCTGGCTACTAGTCCTTGTGGTTGAAACTGTGAGGCGACAGCGAAACGATCGCTGGGAACAAATCATTGCGTGAAAAAGGACTCTCCCGCCTGAAGGACTCATCGCAGCGACCTACAGGTTGCCCGCGGGCGAGTTTCAGGTGCTTCGGCCACAGACTGACAAAGACGCTTCTCTTCGCACCTCACCTCTCGGCTGCCTCCGAGCCCCGCCCCCGAACTGGCCGGGAAGAAGGCGCTCGGCCAATGGAGCCGAGCGGGGCGAAGGCGCCTCTCCCCTCCCTTTGCTCAGGTATGTAGGTATTGCGCATGCCCTGTCCTTGCTTGGGTGTGGTGCGCGCGGCAGCTTGCCTCCGTTGCCAGAGGAGGCGATGCACCTCTTAAGGAGAGCGAAACCTCGACAGGTGGTTGCAGCTCCGTGAAGGCGAGGTAAGGTTGCCTTTTTGTGGAGCGCGCGCTCAGAACTGAGGAGCATTAGAGACATTCGGAGCAGAGGACTTTAAAGGGGCGCATGGGAGGAATTATTTCCCTGATTGTTTTTCTCTGAACTGACTGTGATTTGAGATGGTATCTCCTGTACCTGTCGCAGTCACGCTAGCTTTAGGTGTTGAAAAGTATTTCGACCCCGTGGCCTCCGGGCTGGATAGCTCTGATCTCTGTGGAGGAAACTAGTTCGTTCAGGCTTCTCCTAAAGCTGGTCGTGATTGAGCAATATTGGCCGGAGGAGTGGGGGAGCCGAAGGGAACGCAGGAAATGGGGGAAAAGATGTCCCTTGTTTTTTTCCTTAAGTTTCAAGGGGCATTTATATTAGGTGACTATCACCCTTATACTGATGAGGTTTAGGCTGAGCCTCAAGCAAGCAAACTACATTTTGACTTAGCTTGATGTGTGTCCTAAGCCTTAATCTGTCTGCTTTTCCTCTCCGAAGTATTTCTGGTAAATACACCGTCATTTATCATGACTTATAATCTTTCCACATAACAGCTAGCTGTGCTCGTTAGTTGTAGCAAAAATAACTAGAGCTTCCAGATGATAGAGATGGTTTTTAAATGTTAGCAAATAAACATCTCTGTGCAGTTATTCTACCTTTTGCTCCCTGATATTTATTTTCTTGTAAGGACAAAAAAAACAAAAAACAGGAAAAGCCATGGGATATCATGAGAAGTAACAAAGAAGCCTGCGTGCTCCATAACATTTTGTGATTGAGGTGCTTATGCCACATAAAAGCCTTGTTTGGAAACATGCAAAATTGTACACTACCTTAAATTTTGTACTATACTCATTCTAGTATAAACTTTTACTGACAACAGTTTAAGCACTTGATAAGCATAGTACATACAAGCTGATTCCATAGCCAGTTTATTAAGTTTTTAAAGTGCCACTGGACTGTTTTCTTGATGTATGTACTGATATATCAGAAAGCATCTTCTAGCAGTGTTAATGCCTATTTTCCAGTAGTATTAATTTGATTTTCAAGTGTGCCCAATTTAAGCACATCTGGTAGGTACTTAGATCTTTCTGTTCTTTGCAAATTAAGCCCCTTTTCATTTTGCACTGAGCTGTGTTTTCCAATATATGGTTGTGAACAGGCCTGCTCTTAAAGAACTAAAGACAAGTCTTCAAGAAGTCTGGTAAAAAATTGAAGACTTTAGTTGATTTGTAATTTATAATCACACCACCAGCTTCTTGCAATATTGCCATTCTGTCCATGAATGTGATTCCTTTAATAAACTTATTTTTAGTTCTTTCAGATGTCTGCTTTAAATAATACATTAATGGTATTAATACATTAGTGCATCACTATAATACAGCAATTTATATATTACTGTCATCCTGGCTCTGGCTCATATTTGTAAAACATTCTGCACAGCGTCATTCTTTACTATATTTCAGTATTAAGAAAACAAGACAGGTGCTTTGAGAGCAAGAAGAATATTTATCAGTAGTTTTGAGTCATTTCTCTGTTTTCTTAGTTCTTGAGGTTACACTTAGTAAATAAGTTCCCTTGAATACAGCATATGAATATGACTTCTGAGTAAATCTGGGATTGTATTGTAGAAGACATACTAAAAAATTGATATCTTGGCCAAAAATGTATTTAATTCAGATAGCAAAACTTCTGTTAAAAAAAAAAAAAAGGCAATCATTGTATAAACATAGGCTTGTTCCAGAATCAAATACAATATCAATCATATGTAAGTATAGACTGGGAAAATTAAATTAAAATGCATGCCTTGTCAGGAGTGTGATCTGATAATTTTTTCCTGATTGTTACCTTTCTTGCAAGAGATGAAAAACTGTTTCATTAATAAAATGGACATTATGAAAGGAGCTCCTTTGCTGTTATTTCCTGCGGTCTCCTTGTTTATAAAATATGTTCAGAATGTGCAACTGCAATTTTTATCCAGACTGAAAAGACAGCTCATTATAAAAGCTTTGAGGAAGGGGGATCTATGATGCATATTTCAGTGGAAGTCTACATATGCTTGAAATCCTACAGAATGCAGAAGAATTTATTTCTAATTTACAGGTAGTCCTCATTTAGTGACTGACTCATTTAGTGACCATTTACAGTTACAGTGTTAATGGAAAAGTAACTTTGACACCAATCCTCGCATTTATGACCTTTGCAGGTCAATAATGCAAAGGAAAGCTGAAGTAAGATCGTAAGCACAGTTGTGGTTTCACTTAGTGACTGCTTTGCTTAATAAAGTTGCTGGTCCCAATTGTGGGAGGACTACTTGTATTTCTATAAAATTGCATAATGAATCTTTGTCTGTGGATTATAAGGGTAAATGATACAACTAAAAATAGCTAACTAAAAATAGCTGATTGCGATGTAGAGTGTTAATAATTTAACTCATGATTCCAGGTGTTCTTGGCTAAAAGATTTGTGTTGCGCCCCAAACTTAATCTTGAAAATTAGTATTTCACATAGTTATTGCCATTTTGTTTGAATTAACTTAAAATATTAAATAACTTATTAGAATATTTTTCTTTATAGGTAAAAAAACTACAACCCAAAGTTCCACTATGTCATCCAGACCTTTCGAAAGTCCTCCGCCTTATCGACCAGATGAATTGTAAATACCTATTTTCATTTACTATAGATAAGTAAGGTACACTATTAAGATACGGATTCTGGCAGCTTTCTTCACTGCTGATATAAACTTCAGGTTCAGCTACATGTTTTCACCAAGCCAATGCAGATTTTGGAAGTGAAATTACCGAATGAAGTAAAGCAATTCAAATTTAAATCTGAAAACATATTTTGTGCATTAGCTTTCACCTGCTGCCTTTTAGATGTGTTGAACTTCAATAAACTCCTTTTGCCCAATTTGGATAGCCATTTTGGATAAGAATTTCAGAGGGTACAATCCTACAAATTTAGAATGCACTAGGTTAAAAAAGTTGGCCTTTAAGACATAAGAGAATAGACCATTTTGGGTCTTACTGCTTTGAACAGAATTACAGAATGTATAAATTGGAAGAGATTGTGTAGATAATCTAGTCCAACCTTTGTTCAATGTAGGAATCATTAAAGCATGCCTGCTAATCAGTTCCTGTTTCAAAATCTCCAGCAAGTGGGAAGCCACTGTTTCTCTCCTGTTTATGTTCTGCCTAACGTGATGAAGAATGTCAGTGAACTTACATGCGTGCACATGTTTTGTAATTTTGATTGGCTATAATAAGCATTTTGCCCAACTGTTGGTTGTGGATTTTGTTTTTTCTTGCGAATCAACATAATAGTCTTTGGCTTTTATATATGCAGTGACTTCAAAACGGCTGCAAGAATATCATGGCAGCAGGAAGGCTGTTAGTATGAAGGAAGAAAACTTTTTTTAGAGAGCAGGTGTATGGATTTGCACTTCACAGCAAACAAAGACCTTGGTGAAATCTAGTCCATGGCCAAATATTTACTACCTGAGCATCATTAATATTAAGTTATGAAGCTGGGTAACTTAAAAAAAAAGTTAAATTGTTTAATCCATCTGTATGAAATTGTTTTCTTCATACTCTGTTTATAACTGGACTTGCCATTATGAAGGTTTGGTAGGCATTGATCTCTGTTAGCACTGCTACTAAGGATCTGAAAGTCCTAACTGAAAACAAATCCTGTTTTCCAATCAATTTTATTTCATGTAAGAGGATCAAAGTGTCATTTCTTAATGTAATGACAGAGCTGTTAAAACATATGTACAGTGATTAGTGTATTATATTATGATTAAAGATTAGATATGCACCTACTCATTTTGTTAAAAACTTTTGTATGTTTCCCAAATAGCTGAATATTTAACAGCAGACACACAAGTGTTTGGGAGCTTTCAACCTCATGAAATGTAAGTTTGAGCTGAAAGGCAGGTTAAAATGTACTTGCCCTGAGACTGGAATATCACAATAACTGACAAAAGCCCCATTTAACCAAGGTACTTATTATAACTATTTATAATAAACAGAGATATTTACTGCTGATTCAGACTGAGGGCTCAACTAAATGATTATGTTAATGAAATATCTTTTCCGTCTCACTGTTTCCATCTTATTTTCTCCTTTTCTTCCACACTTCTAAAAAGTACTCAACATGAAAACAGCTCCCGCCCCATCACAGTTTAGTGTGAATTGCACATACACATAATTCCCTACTTAATCAACTCTTTTAGTCAGACATTAGTAGCTGAACACAACTTAATGATAAACATTTTTGGGAAGCAGCAAGAAAGCTTATGGGCTTTCTACATACACACTATACATGGCAGATTATACATGTGAATATGTAGCATATATGAATATGTTTTGGAGGGCTATAAAGTAAACTTGATATTTAATGTTATTAGCTTTTATAAATAATAGTGTCTAATAGTTTCTTTAATCTTTGTAGCAAACCTTCACACTATGCACCAAGCAACAATACATATGGTGGTGAATTCCATTCTCAGCCTATGTTCTCTCAACCAGCATATTCCTATTATCCAGAAGATGAAGTGCAACGTTTCTACAAATGGTCCTCCCCCCCAGGAATAATCAAGATCATGTCCGTTCTCATACTAGTCATGTGTATTGGAGTCTTTGCTTGTGTTGCTTCCACATTGGCTTGGGATATGGACTTGTATGGAGGTCCACTAGGAACTGGTTTGGGGTATCCTAGCTATGGAGGTTTTGGAACCAGCTATGGTGGATACAGTGGCAGCAGTGGTTTTGGAAGTTTTGGTGGCTATAATGGTGCATATGGCCTTGGAGGAAATTATATTGATCCACGAGCAGCGAAAGGCTTTATACTTGCAATGGCAGCTTTTGGCTTTATTGCTGGATTGGTGGTTTTTGTGACTGGTACTACAAAGACCAAGATGGCCAGGACGAGGAAATATTATTTATTTATGATAATAGCAAGTGCTATCTTGCTCTTCTTGATGTTCATTGCTACAATTGTATATATACTGGCAGTCAACCCAACTGCTCAAGCTTCTGGATCAGTGTTCTACAATCAGATCTATATGTTGTGCAACCAGTTTTACGCACCCACAACCTCTGGGCTCTTTGTTAATCAGTACTTATATCACTACTGTGTGGTGGAACCTCAGGAGGTATGTAAATAAATTAGTAGTATCATTCCAAATGTAAAATATTAGTTGTATTTGACATCAAAAGTACAATTAAATAACTATATTAAAACTTAGTTTTATGAGGAAATTATTTCATTGGTTTGTGCAGGACAGTGAATGTTAGCTACCCTTTTTGCAACAGTGTGATTTTTTTTTGTTCTTAA